TCGCCACTGCCACCGTCGCCTCTACCAGCGACCATGTAGTAGTCCGAAGTGCCGTTCCCGGCTCCGATGTCGGCGGAGTTGTTGGTTTTTTCCTGCGAAACAGTAGTGTGGGCAAGCAGAGACGTGTGGACCTGTTCGGTAAGAAGAGTGGGACAGATCCAAGTCAAGTGGACAGATCTCTTCTAGAATCACCTTCGTATCCACCAAGCTTGCTTGCACTCTCCACCGACCTTGGTTGTTGTCCGTCCCATGGAAACAGTGTAGCTTTGGGGGGGATAGACAGACTACGTTGACAACTGGTTTGCGGAAAACACCTGCAAGTCGAAGTCAACTAAAGAGGAAAAATATGTGACATGGCGGGCAATAACCCCTGGTCTGGTGGGTGCTGCCAGCGCTCCTTCCGTATTGGCCCTCCGGTCTCTCCATACCCACCAAAGTAACATAAAACTCGTCAGGCTGAAGGTTGACATCGCGCTTCTCTGAAACATTAAATTTAGTATGACTTATCTCGCTTCTCGTTGATCCTGAACTTCTTGTATTGGCTACTAGTATGCGTACCTTGGACTTCTCTCCCTTTTTGGCACTACTCTCGTTCGGCGGCGGCGGGGGGGGCGTCGCCGGCGACGGGGGAATGGAAACTCCGGCGGCTGCCAGCAAGGACACCGCCGCCTCGGCACTGCCAGGGCCAGCCCACTGCATACCCAGCACGGGGAAGGAGGACGCAAGTTCGGCCATGGAGGATGGGGCTCCGGAGAAGAAAGTCTTGCTTTGGGCCTGTCATTTGTTCCGAACATGACCACACCGATACGGTGTGCATATAGCAGGGTGAAACAGTGGGTCATTCATGTGTAGGGGCTAGTTGCGCATGTTGGGGCGATGTTGGGGAAGGATGACGAGGGTGGTTTAGTCTCAGCACATGAAAGGACCGGTGATGGACAACGAATACTTTTGGTAGACATGCCCTTTTTCATACCTCAGATACACAATTTGGCCATGCCGTATTCTTATCTGTAGCAAGTTAGCTGCCTGTCTGTCGGCTGTCGGAATGGCATCGATCCGTGAAAATGCTTCAGGAAATCGACTTGATTTGAAACGAGCGTCTAGCTCTTCAAGCTCGCTCCTATGAAATATCACAATCTCCACACTTTCGTTGCTTGATGTCAATCGACTCCCCCCCCTGCCTGCTACAGCAGCTGATCGGCCGATCGAAGCTCCCCATGAGGTAATCAAATCGATCAGCAAACGACGAAGGAAGGATTGGATACAATCCATTCTTCAACAACCTCTTCTCGCGATAATTTGAGCTGCGAGAAATGTGCTCCCCAAAGAGAAAATGAGCAGATCAATACACTCATCAATGTCCATATACGACATCAAGCAACCACACACTGCTTTGGCCACCTCTAGTTTATTACCCACCATTTGCGGGCGGAAGAGCTTAGTCCTCAGCAGTCTTGACGTCGTCGCCGATATCGGGGAGTCTCCCCCGCCTCCTACGGCCAGCAGCTTCCCCAGAACGGCGTCGATGTGCCCCGGCATCACCACGATGAAGCAGGTCTCTTCGGCCTCCGAAAAGCCCCTCATCCCCGCTGTTGATCACCCGGTAGTTTCCAAATGCGATGGTGGGAAGGTTTCGAGGACATGTTAGAGGATACATGTATTTCTGCAACTCTGATCCCGACAATCGATATATTTGACAGTAAATCGATATATTCGACAGCAAATTGCTGATGACATCGCTATTATTGGGAGCACATAGCTGCGAAAAAGTTACAAGTTTTATTGCAACGTTTGGTCGGGAATGTTTGTCAAATACCACTTTTGTGGCAAGCTCACTATGGGAAGTTTTCTTCGCGGGACTGGTGGAATGTAGAGGCATGATCCTTCTTTTTTTCTGTAACGGCGAGGAGCAGACACACCGCTTCATACCACACCGCGAAGAAACCGGCTAGGGGGTGCGAGAGTAGGCAGTATGAACATATTTTCCACAGTCACGATACCCCCACGACATCTAACCTCGAACCAAAAAGATGCTGGGTAGAGCTACCTCCCTCGGAGTGGCATGGCTGTTGCTGTTGCCTCCTCCTTCGAAAAGTTATCGCTGGAAAATCAAACCATGAGCACGCCATCCCCGCGAACTTGAACCAACCGCTCTCTGACGCGGGTATGGCAGTGTCAACCAAAACGTTTTCCCGACGCGCACGATACGACATGGCAACAAACCTTGGGCATAAAAGATGGATTTGAGAACTACCTCGCGCCGAGTGGTCTTGCTGTTGCTGTTGCTTCCTCCTTCGGAAAGTTATCGGCCAAAAGCCAACCCCGTGGCATGGTCAATATCACCGCACTCGAACTAACCACTCGCAGCCGTTGACGGTCGTGAGTCAACATTTTTTATTTTCCCTGCGCATTCGGCGCCTCACGGCGCCAAATCTAGGCACTGACCAATAGCCCATGGCATTACCTCCTTCGAGATACCATTCATGAGGAAAATCGGTGAACATGGTGCCTTCCAATCGAATCTGGAGAGGGGGTCTACATGTGTGGTAGGGGTAGGTGCTTGACGTGGAATGGCGGGAGTCTCGCCACGTAACTTTTGTTTGACACCGTCGTCGCCAAAAAAAGTGCAAAACATTTGCTGAAGATCGCGCGATGTGTGTCTGAAAGCAAAAGTTTCACAACGTAAATTTCAAATGTTTTCTCCCACAAAGAGCGTACACGAAGAACGTTGCGACAACCGTTTGGAAAGCGGTGCGACTCGTTTCGAGTTTTCATATGGGATCGGATACATCCTGGACTCTTTCGGGAAGCTAGAAACAAGGCATGGCAGGGTTTGTTCCTTGCTTTCCACAAACCCATAGCTTACAACATTTTTCCGACCCCGAACTTCCTCTAACCGTCGGGTGGCTCAATACCTACCCCCAAATGTTCCACTACTCGAGACGGTTTTCATTTTGCAGTGTTGGAACGTTCCGTCATTGATGGTGTGGATGTTGTTGCATAGATCGTGGTGACTTCATGTTCAACGCCACGTATTTCTAGGCACAAAAGCTCTGACCACAATCGTTATATTCCCCAGCAGAACAAAGACAGGCAATTGCCTTGTCTCCGAAAGGGACAGGTGCAATGAATAGACGCCCCACCGTGATTTCGTTGGGATAGGAAATCGAACCGTAACCCGCTCCAGACCCGTCCGCCCCCTCCACACGTGATCACGGAGTCGGAATGTCTCTTCAACGTTTCTCACCAGTAATAGGGACGACTGCTCCGTGAGTATTTTCTGTGTATCCCACTCGTTGCCTCGAGGCTCTCGGCAGGCTGCGTGTGGTGAAGTCCCTGTGCAAACAGACGCAGACAAGAAAGGTTGTTGAGCAACGTTAGTAGGAGGGTCAACAATTGAGAGGCGGCAGATCGAAAAAACGGGCCAAAAATTGTTTTTTTGCTCTAAGCATCAATTGGCTAAGGGCATTCGCGCGTCGTCCAGTTGATGACCCATTTATGCCGGTCGCCAACCATCGACATCGCGTGGTCGACGCTATCTTCTTGAGTAGAGCAACACCACCAAGTTACTATGGGCGTGTTGATCATATTTCTGACGGTGAGCATCATTATTTTCACTTGTGGTACGTTTCAACCTCTCCGCCCTCCCACTAAGCTGCGGATCTTAATCTTTTCCGGCTACGGTACTAGGGCCTGAAAAATTGAATTTCCGCGAAGTACTATCTCATCCCCAGAAAATTTTGCACAAATGTCATGTTCGGCGCAGCATTGGCAAAGTCGTCGGATAAGACCGGTTAGACCAGTTTGACGGCGATGAACGCATGCGGGAATAATACGGACGACGCTGCCCCTACATTCCCAAACGCTTGACGCTTCACAGACGAGAAAGTCGCGATCGTGTTGTTCTATGGTTACCTGTGGTGGGATCCTTCGGGAAGGCACGACCAATCCCCCTCGCCCCCTCCGGTAAAGTTATATATCTGGCTCCACTTGTTGTTCCATACGCTTAGCTTGGCTGCCGCGAACTGGCCAGCCAGACTTGAGGATTGAAAGGGTCGCAATCGGCGGGGCACGAGGGCGAACGGGAATTCCGCGCGAGGGGGACAAAGCGGAGTGGCATCGCGCGTCAAATGGACGTGATGAAGGTTGTACACTTTGAAAAGGCTCTGCATCAATCTGACCTAACGGTCGAGGGAATTGTGGTGTGAGTCATGCTCCAGTCAGGAACCAACCACTGCCTGACCCCTATAATATCAAATGAAAGCAATGACAACTGATCACTTCGACCCTGATATGTCGATTAGGGAAAAACCTGTGTGCATGGACGTTGCCTACTCTAGCCCAAAATCATTGAAAGCAAGACGGGAAGGGCACGATTTTGGCACGAGTCATGTCCTCGTGGACCGGTTTCGTTGTTAGCTGCTACATATCAACAAGCATGACGTCAACTACTGAAGCTGCGCCAAAGATGCCTGAAAATGCCACATTCGGCCCCCATGGCGTTATCAACAATCGCGTCGTCGTAGAGGGAACGCCGCGTCTCTGAGGGCACTTGGCAGCCTCGTAATAGTAAATTATTTTCCCACCGTGGCAAAATTTCTCATCTGAGGCAGACAGCCACCCTTCACGATAGAAAGCTGAATATCGATGCACGCGTTCCATTTACGCAATGATTCAATATGGAGTGGGTGGGACGGAAGACACATGGAGGGGGGCAGATTAGGGTTTTTGACGCTGGCTCTTGTTCTTATACTTTATTCCAACATACAGAGAGAAAACAACCTTCCCGCCTAAGAACATCAATAGTTCGTGTTCTGCCATCCCTTAAAGAACCCCACAGCGCATGGAGAAAGCGGATCCACCCCCCCAAGTCGGCGTTGCTGACTCCATTCGAAAAGGGGTACCATATACGGGGCTCAAGCCTAGAAAACTGTTCATGTTACTCATCGCGACCATACAACGATCGGAGATTTCGATACAATGATGAAAACATCTGGTCGCTAGAAGCAAGAAAGGATGTAAAGGTATGGAATACCGCGCGACCCCCTGCCATGCCACCTCGGTACTCAATCCATTGCGGCGCCGTACCTGAAGTAATCCAGCGTATAGCAAGCGAACCGGAGCCCCACGGAGGACTCAACCACGGGCTGGGTAGCACTGAACAAAAAGAAAGTGCAGTCCGTGCAGTCCCGTGCGCGAAACTGCTGGCAGGCCACCACCACGGTGCAGTCCTTGCAGTCCCGAATAAACACACTGGTATTTTTTTCGAAACTTGCTTCAGAATTCGCGCGATATGCATGCGTCCCAACGGGCGTGTGAAGACAAGAGTTGGCAGGTACACATCATTTCGAAATTTGAACAAACGAGACTATGAGGGAGAGCAGTGCATGACCTTGCTATCTCGAGTGGAGAATAGGGGACACGGAAGAGGGTTGGCGATATGGGATTTTCAATACGGGATCGCGAGCCATGTCCACCGTAGAAGGAAATATTGAGCAGCGAAGAAAACGCTGGGCTATTGGCGGTAACGTGCTCGAACCAGACATGTTTGTTTTCCAAAAGAAACTCTCATTTTCCGCCTCCATTAAATCAAGCTTCTATACGTAGCACCCAGACTGCAGCTTTGCTTGTATCTTACCTGCTCTCGCAAGGCCCCACGATAATCCTGCAGTCTGTGCATAGGTCGATGGTGAGTGCTGCGGTGTGATCCAGAAGGTACACCTCGCACTCCGAGCACTCCTCCACAATGAATTGCTGTCCGCCGATGCTACCAGGTTCTCGCACGATTACCTTGTGTCAGAGAACCACGAAGAAACCAGAGCAAGCAAGCGGTGACGACGTACAGGTTGGTGATTTTTAGGTTATGCGTTCTGGAGAGTTGGTGGCAATCAGCAGGTGCCGCATCTCCGTCAGATCCAATGTCACGCAATATACTGTGCTTGACCACGTATTCTCGGCGTTAATTATTTTCTGCTACATCAGTGTAGTCTATCCTGCCATCAGCGAAAGCCAGTTTCCCATCGTTTCGATGGGACATGCAACAACGTACAATGTAGTAGAAGTAGCTCACAACGCTCTCACCTCTTTCTGCTTGCGGGAGAAGATGAAATCGCTAGGATTGAGATTCCCCTTGTCGACAGTACCCCTGGTAACGCTTCCACCGCCTGCCGCCACTAGGCAGTAGGTGTTCACGCCGGTATTGTGCGAGGGCCATAACGTCGCTGTCAGATGTTGCATTCAAGGTATCAGTATACTGTAGTCTACAGTGGAGCCTAAGAATGCAGCCTATGCATGCGTCAACGAAGGTCTCGCGGGGTGGGGTGAGTCGCGCAAGCGCTCAGAACGGTATTATTGAAGTTTCGCACACCGGGGCGCTGACGAACATACACACATGGCGCGGCCGATGCTAGTGATAAAAACACACAGACGTTTGTCACACACGCACGCCATTTTAGTTTTCAAGAGGCAAGGGACACGCACCTGACGCAACCTGGATACAACCTTTAGCGTTTGGTCCTCTGAAAAGTGTACCACACAAGAACACGTTGCGACAGAGAAATGTGTCGCAACTCCAAGCAGAAGAATGTCAGTGGGAGCAAAAGAGAAACTCATGCAGTTGCTAGCAGATGCTGTGTCGTAACCTTTCTGTCATAAGCCGACATCGAGACCCGGGGCCAGCCATCTCATGCGCGGAACGAAAGATCCGAGGTTGTAGCCGGCAAGAACAGGCTGGCACACGGATGCATACACACCAGGATTCCAACCAACGCCTGCACCATGCTTTTTGTTTTTTTTTTGTTCTGGGCAGTCCTTGCCGAAGAGATTCCCCATAATGCCGGCAACTGTAGCTGTCGCCGGGTGAAGACTCTCTGCCTCGTCTCGCAGCCTCTGGATATCTTTCCACACGGTGTGATTGCTGCTGTCTTCTGACGATGGTATGGATCGTTCTTCCGAAACGGCACGAGTTGAGCCGCATTTTTTCGTTGCTGGTGCGCTGCTGCTGCTTCTACTTCCGCTGCTAATGCTCCTGTGCACTTTGTACTTGTCTCTCGACGCGCTATGCACGATGAGATGCGTTTCTTAGGTATTATACAATCACAGAACATGTCGGGTCCGGTATGTTCTCACCCGCAACTTCCCCCGCACAGCCTAGAATAGAGGCTACTGCGCTGGTGAAGCTGTCGGCCATAGAATAGGCGACTTTTTGGTAACGACAGTCGGCCAGTGTACCACCTGAGATGGCTACGGAGCGGGCATCAGGAACGGCCGCTCCGCTATGTTTGCTAGCTACTCTTATTACGTCAAGAGTGGCTGCCGCTTCAAGATCTACCTCCTCCCGCTAACGTTTGCGTGCATGACTTGCCCTTGGTAACCCTCGCTGCATGCTGTCATTCAGAGGTATGGGCACGTCGTTTCACACAGACGCTTGCGGACGCTTGCGGGGGTTGACAATGAACCAGCAACCGTCTTTGGCGTAGTTGGAGCAGCCAGCGAATGTAACGGAGAACCTATCCTGACGTCTGCTACGTAGCAGTCTAGGTTGACGCACTACCCGACCGCGTTCCGAGCGTTGTGTTCTTGTTATTGTTTCGGCTGAGAACATGTTTCTCGGCATGAGAGCCAAGAGAGACCATGGGTTTAGTGTAGCGGGAAAAATAAAACGGAGCAACAGGGGGGATCTCCCACACCCTACCCGGTTTTGTTAATCAGCCCACGGGCACAACATTCTGCCCATTGGCAGCCCATGGGCAGCCCACGGACCACTTATGGGAAAAGCAGTCCCCATGGGAATTGTCCATGGGAAATGCCTACTACGCGCAAGCCCATGGGCAGCCCATGGGGGGGACTTCGTGGGCAGTTCATGGGCTGCCCGTGGTTCATGGGCAGCCCATGGACCGTCAATGAGTGCCCTTCAACCGAACCCGTGTACTCCTGAACAATAGATTATCTGGTTTTGGAACGCGCATTGTAACGGCTAAAAACTCTAGCGCTAACCCCAACCCAATGCCAACCCCAAGCCCACACGATACATGCTAGCTTCGCGCTGGGTGGCTAAGTTCTAGGTTGATATGCCGGTGGCAAAGTTCTAGGTTAAAGTGCCTCGGTGGGCACTTCATGGACAGTTCATGTTCTGCCCATGGTCGGTTTAACAAAAACTCCCCAGCAGTGTGGGAGATTGAGCAGGGGATCGACAAATAGAGGAATCCATCCGTGCAACAGTATGTGTTGAGGAACTCGTAATTTCCTCCTCTGTATCATTAGTCTGGTCTGTTATGTGCGTGTAGTAGTAAAGATACTTACACGTTGACGTTTAGCCTTTGGTTGGGTGCGTTAGAAAGGCAAGACATATGCAAAGCTGACTAAAAAAAAAACAAATCGAAGACCGTGTTATACACTAAAATTAGGTCAACATATGCCCATTTTGGCCTGTTTTGAGCATTTTTTTGAGATTTTTTTTTAGATTTTTTTTAGAATTCGTGAGATCAGTCGTGATTACCACCCCCCACACACTATGCAAACGATGGATACGCCCCCAAGTACCCCCCCACATCGTCCCAAGGGCGGCGAGCTTTCAGTGGGCCGCCGCATTGCAATTGTAGTGGAGGCTGCGCTGGCTATTCCGCCGGGCCAAGTACGGATACCCAAGGGTGCGCTGGGCCCACCGACACCAGACACTTTTTCTGCCCGCAAGTGTATTGGTTGTAGTGTGGGTCCCTCAATTGTCTTGGTTTTAGTGTGGAACCCCAAAGTGTCTTAGTTTTAGTGTGGTGCCACTATTATTCTGCTTTGAGTATAGGGGGGCGCGATGTGGGTCGCTGAGTAGGCGGGGATAGCTTTAGGGTTGGGGATAGTTCTTGGTTTTTTGGGGGGGGGTTAGGCTCAATGCCCCACGTACCCCACCCCCCGGAAAGGGCAAAATATAGCCGTTTTTGGGCCGACTCAACGTTTTCCGGCCGTTTAGTCGCATGGTTCAAGCACCAGCTTTAAAAAAAAAAATGTTTTCTTGCTAAAAAAACGCCGTAGAATTCAACAAAAAAACCCGACAGATCGGACACCGTCAAGGCGGCGTATAAACCTAACAGACCAGACTTATGATACAGAGGAAGTATGGGTCCATGGACGTCTTACATTGTGCAACAACAGCTGGCTGAGAGTCTGAGGGCTCCTTGCAGAAGTACGGAGTCACAATAATATGGGGCGTGCTTCTCTGAAATCTGACGTTGTAGAAGTACTCGCGTATCACTTGAGTGTGAAATAGAGTACTCCCATGAGTCTGTCTCTTTTTCCGTCTTCCGTCCGCACCTCTCTCAGCCTCTCGAGCTGAAAACGGGCCAACCGGTCAGCGGGCGCCGGCAGCAACTCAATCGATCCGGGCGGATGATGGGTCAGGTCTTTATCTCTCGCTCGGCTTTCTCACCATCTCATCCAGCGGAAAATACCGGGCATTTCGTTATTGCTTGTTGTTGGAAGACTGTGAGAGGCCGGCAGAACTTTCCGGTGAACGGAGGGAAAATCTGCATAATGTCTTGGGACGGCGTGGGACGGCTCGCGGGACGATCGAACATCCCACGGGCCGGTCCCAAGGGGCGTCGAATGGGCCGTACCATGGTGTCCTATCGGCGTTCAAATGGACGTGGACCGTCCCATGCGTTCCGTAGGCGTCCCGTGGGACGTGTTTGATGGACACGAGAGGACTCGATGAAACGCCTATGGAATGTCGAGGATCGCCGTTCGTCAGGAAACACCTGTGCTGAAGTAGCTCTTAAGCGTGCTACATGAATCTGTGCGTCTATGAGTTTCGGTCATGGGAGGTACGGAAAGTCCCGTGCGTCCCGCGGGACGTCCCTATCGTCCCATGGGCGTCCCATTTGAATTCCCAATAAGGTCAGGAAGACTTCGCGATTTTTAGTCCTTTGTTACCTCTACCTTTCCATACGACGTCTGCATACCACTCCCACTTTGCCACGTAGCTAGCCTGTGACCACGAGGAAGGAATCCGTCCGCGTCAGTTGGACCAGCGCTGGCGTTAGAAGGTAGAGAGTGGAAGCATGAACAGGTTTTTTCGATCAAGGCAACAAACTACATACAATGGAGGCTGTGTGCACCAATGATGAAGCTCTACTTACGGAAGCCACAAATGCTTTTGGCCGCTGTCCCGTTTGAAATTATTCTAGGTTTAGTCCATACCATAAAAATATATTATGAGGACCCAGGTCGTGTTCGTTAGATGCTTTTGGAACTATAAAACATGACACGAAGCTAGCCCTTCGGAGAATGGTCAGAGGAAATTGTCGAACTTTCAGCCTTTATTGAAGAACACCTGCTGGAAACTGGAGCTGATGCAGAATCTCTTGTATGAAGCCCTACACTGAGAAACTAGTGAAATGCCATGCAGAATAATCCGAGCATTCTGTGGTTATCTACTCCAATGTACACATAACCTAGAGGTTGGTGCATGTATGTGTGGATGCATATGCATGAAATCTTACAGAACATCCCCTGTAAGACTTATTGCTGGATCAAAAGAGCCAAGGGGAACCGTCCGTACGGATCTTGTGCACCACACAAGCTGTCCCGGCATATGAGTAAGAATACAAACCCAATCAGAAATGAGAAGGTGAGTCTGTAACTTGCTTCCCATCTGACAATACAGCCTGACCCAGCCGTGTGAAGAAAACAGGCCCTGACAAGGGGCATAGCTCTCAGTTTCATAGAGAATCGGAACCTCGCTTTAACACTAGCAGGTTGTCTACGTGTCGCCGCTGGCGATCTGACCCTATTCGCTTATTAGTTAGCGGTATCTACATCGAGATGTCAGTCCATGGCACCGCAACGTAAGGCAACTTTGTGCAACAATTCAATGAAAGAAGGAGTCTAGACACTGCACGCCAACACCTGCCTACCCGATTTGTGATGGCAATGTCCGTTGCCTCCGTCCTGCCCGCGAGCCCAGAAAACGCAAAACACACGTTGTCAGTTGGATAAACCAGCCGAATCATTCTCTTCGTGAGGGAAATGCTGTAGAGGATATCCAAATACTTCTTCCATCGACGATACCATCTTACGCACCGACAGCTCAGTCAATTTAAGTGTTTCCGCTCTAGCAAGTGGTCTCTTATGGTGTGTACGATGGATGTCGAAAATTGTCATCCTCAGGCTTTACGGGATATTGTCATCGTGAATACATGTCCACCATTTCTGTCTGCCATGTACTTCAGCTCCCACCAAAAGCTGACGCCTTGCAGGGTTGCCAACGACACGTGTGTCAGTTGTTCGATCATCGTCGACTCTGGCGATCATCGTCCAGAACGTGTGCCATCAACTACTTCGGGAACTCGAATGAACGCATCACCATCGTAGCAGATCTTTACCACCGGCTCTCCCAGGTCAGAGTGTTGTACCAGTAGTAGTTCTGGCTGCCCTCGTCCCACTCCTGGGTCCAACCTTCCGCCCCTCCCCCTTGTTCCCCCTGCGCTGCCAGTTCCCACCCCGTGGTTACGTTGCCCCCCTCACTATTGCCCCCCCAGGTCTCCACGCCATCTTCACCCCCCTGCTGCCCCCAAGCCGGCCACTCGTACCCATCGAACGGGTTAGAGTCGGCAACCATCGCATTTTGGTTATCACCGCCACCGCTCCACCAAGCCGCCGCTTCCCCCTCCCCGGCCGCTGTGGTGACGCTCGTCCACTCCGTTCCGCCGGCCGCCCCCTGATCCCAATCTTCGGCGTCTCGAGCGGCGTCGGCGGTGGCAACGTCGGGTGGCGGTATCTCCCACACGCTCTCGCCGGTGAAATCGTCGATGTAGTACGTGTTCCCGTCGTCGTCTTCATAGGCGGACCAAGGGCCTGCAGTTGCTGCTTCTGCTGCTGTTTCCGTGCCCGGTGTTGTCGCGAGGTCGTCACCTTGCCTGTTCCCGCCGGACCCTTGGCGCGATTTGCTCGTGGACGGCCGCAGGTCCCACCTAGTGATACGGGGTGATTCGTTGCGGCTGTATGTGACTGATCTACGTATTGCCTCTAATGTTGCTCTCCCGGCGAATTGATTATGGGTCAATTGCACTTGTTGATCGATTGCCGGCGAGGCTTAAACAGTACTTCATGTTGATGGATTGCCGCCTTCCGTTTTTACACCCTGTACAAGGGGCCACGTGAAGATTCCTACCCGGCGTGGTAACTTAGGCGCGTCAACAGAGGTTGGCGAAGCTGGACTGTTGAAAATGGGAGAGCAACGAGCTATCGAAGTGCTGATTTTCCGTCCCCCTCATAGTTCCGCGACACCCCCTGGGTGGGTTCCTGAACGACGGCAACCCACAGCAACTCTATTGCCGCAAAATGCAACACAGTTGACAGCAGCGAACGCAACAACAACGCCAACATCGCCACCAAATAAACTAAGACGGAGCAACGACGGTGGCAGCGGTGATTCCGACATCGACATACTCAGCAATCTTCACCCAAGCCGGCCTCTGCGACATCACGCACCCTCGTTTGGCGGCCCGGGTGACTATCCTCTGAGCGCTCCTGCGCAGACTTTCCATCGATATTGCCGTGGTCCTGGGCGGAGGAGCTAGCCCGCCCCATCTTTCGGCCCTCTTCGTCCACTTCATGCCGTCTCCTGATGCGGGATACCCCCTCTTGGTGGCGGCACGCAATAGGGCCTGCAGCTTTTTGTGGCGATATTCCCACGTCACCTACCGTTTGCAGGTACACGAAGCTAGTCAATGTCAGGAAGTGGGTATTGTAGCCGGCGTGTGTGGTCGAGCGGTTTCCCTTGAAGGGATGATCTTTTTTGTTTCGCGCTTTGAATGTGCGTTTCGTGGGAAATATTTGTATCCCCGTCAATATGTGTCTTTGCTCTTTGACACACGCTTGCCTCTTGGCCGTGGCGGATACAGTGGCCAGTGTTGATGTGCACACTACTGGGGAATGGAGCTTACGTCTTGCCGAACAAAACTATTGCCTAAGGGGCCCCATTCGGTCTGCCAACTGCATCTACCTGTATCCTTTTCCCTGTGAACGCTAGTCTCTGTGTACGTGTGCACGGCGGAGATCTTATTTATGCATCAGATGAATTCATACAAGCAGAGCTAGCGCGGACGTGGTCACCGCCTGCGTGAATCAATAATTGCGTAGATATCGCTTCCACCTTATTCTAACCGTCCATTCGTCTATCCCCTGGCATACGCCTCCTCAATCAACGTGTTCTCAACATTGCAATTGCCTTGGTTACTGTACAGTCGAAGTGTTCCACAGGCTTTCCTCAAGTGGGGCCCATTGTTCAGTAGTGGTGACACTCTCTGGTGGCCGGACAAAACGAAGGAGGGACGGGCACGCAGCCCATAAAAGGCCACCTGGCGTGCTACATGGCTTCCAACCTAACTTTGGGACCATGTCCAGGACGATGCGAAAGTCTCACCGTGGCGGCGTAAACTCTTTCGGGAGCGCACAGCGAGTGTGCACGTCCAGCCCTTCCCCTTTCCTTCACCGCGGCCACATCAGGGTCGACGGAACCAGGCCCGAACGTTCGGAGGAACTTGTGCAGCGAGCGCGCTCCGCGGCGCCAGCGTAGGTGTTGCGGATCCGTGAGCTTGTTGCACTTCATGAGCGGGATTTTCAGGCGAAGACGGGGCCGTGGTGAGAAAGTTGGTCCGTGCTGACGTTTTCTCCTGGAACCGCTGACTGAACTAGTGGGCCTCGGTTGGCCACGCAGAAACAATTGTAAGTACACATCTTAAGTGTTGGCGATAGGAACTACTTTGGTACGGATGGTGAAAGGAACGACGCACTGTTGACGGTAGTTCGTGAAAAAACAGCTCTAGGTTCTTGCGTGCTCGCGGGAGGTCAGCACGGGTTCATGGGTTCTGACCGTTCGGTTCCATGTTCCATTCCGCATTCGTCGCCAGCGTTTTCTCCGCCAAGGCACGACCTTGCAGTTTTAGCTTATAGATGTGGATTATCATGTCCACGTGATTGCGATGATACACGTGCCTACCACGGTGATCTAGAGGGAGAAGCAATTGATGCAAGGTAGCCCGTGAGGTGGTTTCGGTACTCCTGTGTTGGATTTCCGACAGAACAACAAAACAGGAGACGCCCTAAATGTTTTTGGAGCGGTAGGACGCCCCTGCTACTGCTGCTGTTGCTGCTGCTGCTCTTGGGGCTACGGTTGGTGTCGTGGTGGTTCTGGCGGTTGCCTTTGCTGTTACCGTGCGCTGTTCTTCGTTCTCGTACTCGACCGTGAACACCCTCTCTCCGAAGGGCACCAGAGGTGCTGGCAACGCTGGAGCCAAGGAGACAAGACCCCAACCGAACCCGGCGAGACAACACACATGGCACTCGCGCCAGGTGGAAGGTTAGTTGGCCGAAAATACGCACAATCATTCGGCCTCTCTCAAAACATGCCCATCTTCGGGTGCACAGTAGGGGTGAAGCCCGGGATCAACCGCTCGAGATCGGTGCACGCCACCCGCGAGAAACACCCAACGTCCCTTTTCCCCATGCATACCTTTCTGTCGCCAATCTGGAGATACCGAGTAGCTCCAAGAGAATTATCCACCCCCGTCCAGTACCTGCAGAGGACCAACAGATTATTGGCTTGGTAGGGATGCGAAGTCAATGGTCTAACGACTACGGCATGCCCACCCAGTACCTGCAGAGGATCAACAAATCAATGGGTACCGTTTGCGGGGCTCTCTGGATAGGAGAGACGGGAAGTGATCGGGCATGGACTCTTGAGCGCGATCAAGCACGGCCCGGGACCCTGCGTGAACTTGTTGGTGTTGGTGCCCCGACCATCCACAGCGTGATGGCGGAAGGCGTACCTCTTTGCCGGTTGTCTCCCCTCGAGAAATCCCAACAATGCCACTTTTATTGACGAAGCACCCAGCCCTCTGGAACCATTGGCTTCACAACACCCGTCGGATTGACTTCCTGACATATCCCATGTCAAAAGAAGCAAAGGTCTGTTCCCCTCGCGACGAGGAGCGAACTGCCTCAACCACGTTGGAGTTCCACGCCGCCGGGCTTTTCGTGACTACGTGCATGCCGAAAAAAAATACATTTTTGTTTCTACTTCGATAATACGTCTTCACCTTTTGAATACCGCAGAATCGTGGAAATCATCCTTGAAATTCAATGCGAACCTGACCTTCCGAGCTTTTGCGCCCATCTGAGGTCTTCTGCCGATACAGTTTTGTCCACCCGAGCCGCGAAGTCCCCCTCCGAGAAGCTTGCCCGACGCCGGCTAGTCAAGCGGTGCAGCTGCGATGCCCGCATCCGCGTGACCCTTTGGTAGAGCCTCTCCGGCCCCGCGATGTCTATCGTCCGCCTGGCGAAAAATTTGGAGTTGTTGATACAGTTGTAGGTGGAGGGTCTGGTGGCGGTGGCACAGTCGGTTGTACATGTTGCTGCTGTGCTGAATTTCTGTTGTTGGGGCGTTTTTCACCTTTGGAAAACATTCTGTCCAGTACCCTCCCCCGATTTCCACAAACTCAGTCGTCGTACCCCACCCACTCGGAACTAGTTTTTGGGACAAGAAGTCGCACCCATACTTTTCACTCGACAACATTGTAGCGTCTCTATCCGTACCGGGAAGTCAGAGGTTGACAGGACCAGACCAGGGCATCCACGTCCGGATCCGCCACTCCTCCCAACCGCCCAGCCCCACGTGCCTCTCCACAGTAGCCCCTTGCTCCGATTCGGTCCGTGCCTTCTCCCAATGCTTCACCGCCGCTGCTGCTGCTGCTGCCGCTGCTTCCGTCCTTCGCCGACCGCCACTTCGGCCTGTCACCTCCGGCCGGAAGACCGACCGTCATGAGGACCACCTTCTCCTCGGGTAGCCGCAGCCGCGGTGGGAACTGCCGCTGCAGCTGCCGGACGTCGCGGCGACTCCAGAGCGTAACGGTCTCTCGACGGGCGAGGCCCCTCCCGACCCGAGGGTCCGAGGCTGATGCGAGCGTCTCGAGAGTGACGCCCTCTCTGTCGAAGTGTTCGGCGGTTTCGGGAGGAGGTTAAGAGGGGCGGGGTGGGAGGAGGGTACTTGCAAAGCTTCGGCGATCGTGGGGGCGAAGGTGAACATTCCTCATGGATGAAACAGTGGCGTCATTGTCTGGGGACGGGCGGCGGGGGGGGGTGCGTTCGCGGTCATGTGTCGCTGAAGTATGCCGGGCAATGGATCTCGCTCGCCTTGTGGAGAAGTCCTTCAAGGCCTGGCGCTGCTGGTTGAGCGCCATGATTACCGGCTGCAGCTTACTGTAGTAGCGGTAGAACGCCGACTCGAGATCAGCCGCAGCCATGCCTTCACGGTTTCGTTTTCGCTCTTCGTCCTTTTTATGAGGGTGAGAGTCAGAGTTTGGAGGGGGGGGGGGGGGGGGGGGGNNTGAAGGGGGTGTGACACTGGAAGCCGATTGTAACAGCGAGAGATACTGCTGTCGACTACACAATGTAGTTCGCTGTGGATTTCTTCTCGCGCTTGTCAAGGTCAAGTAACGTGTCCACCTCATACTGGGCGCATACGGGAAAAAAATGAAGGGAAGAGTAATTGGCAGCCGTACCTTGTCGAACCTGGCTATGCTCTTCTCCATCGCCCCGAGGACTGTCACGTACCATACCGCCTCTATCGCCTCTCGCCGCCGACGCCGCTGCTCCTCTCGCCGGCGCCGCGCCAGCCGCTGCCCGAACCAGCCCCGCAAGATCTGGCGCGTGATTGCGTGCGCGATCCCGATATCGAGGGTGAACATCGCGTGCGACAGGACGGCTAAGGTTCACCGAAGGAGACTATGAATCGGTTGTCAACGACCGTGCAGTGAACACTCTTTGGACGAAAGCTGACGACACGAAACAGCTAACCAATGCGAGCCCCACACCATGACACAACAGAACAAAATCATTTGGTGAAAACACAGCGCTTCGTCCGTCGACGGTGTTGCTCCTATCGATATCCTTTGTCTGCTTGTACCTTTCGGGTTCCATTTTGTCTTGCCTGATTCTATCGATCGGAGGGCTCGCTGGAAGAACGATTGCTGCCAACAAATGGGCAGGACGAGATTGAGCCACACCGGCAATGCTAAGCGAAAACTGCGGGTGAACACGGAGGGATCGTGGCCTTACCAAATCACGTTCCAGACCAACCGGACCACCAAAAACAACCGCCAACTTAAACCTAAACCCAACTCATATCTCAACGTCAACCCACCCGCTGACATTCCACGGCGTTGTGGTTCAGCCACCTCGCGGTGTCCCCGCCGTCGTCCTCGTCCTCCACGGACACCAGCAACCCGCACGGCGGAGCTGGTGCCCCCGCATCAAGAGACACGTTCCGTTGGCCACGCGGCGAACATATATTTCCTCCTGTTTCTATGTGTTCGGTTCCTATTGGACCGAAAACATCACGGCCGGCTGCTGGCTTGCAACGAGAAAGGGTTCCGACCCCGTCGCCGCCGCAACCACCCCCGCCTACGTCTCTGTTGGCGTTGCTGTTACCCCACCTGAATGGACGCATACCGCACTGGCACATCACTCGCAGTCTGTCGAACGAAGCATTGACGGGCAAAGGAGGGCGCGGTCGCTGTTCTGGATGAGGGTTTGTTGGCGAGGCTAGATGCACCACGCTTCCTCCAGTCTGTGCCTCCGAGAAAAGAAGGAGTTGCGGACGTGCGGTAGTGGCAGCGCACTGAACGAAATGGAAAGAACGAGGTTGTTGCAACGTCTGGCAATGTCCAACAAAAGCACACTCCACCGAAATTGTTTACGAACCCACATTCGTTCGACTCGATGCGAAAGAGGAGGTCGACCACCTGCGGCGGGTGTGTAACCTGCGCTCTCATGCTCGGTGAAGTCAACACGAAACAGCTCCATCTAGGCTTCCTACACGTTCCTTCCCACAGCACCCACACCTTCGGGTGCAGGGGCGTATCTCATGCTCTCGGTGGCAAGAACGTGCGCACTTGCGGCAGACGCACGAAACGCCACAGGAGGCGCATTCGAAGAGGGGTTCGGGGTTGGGTCCGCGATTTTTCCACGGGGGGCGGCGCGGACAGCGCCACAGTCGGAGGAGTCCGGACTCCCACTTCTTCATGCCGACATGACTTTTGGGTGGTTGATGGATGAGTTGGTTGTTGGATCCGGGTGATGATGGGGTTGGTTGTCCAATCGCGTTGCGTTGAAAATCGTGGAAGAATGGGGGGAAGGTCATTGCGCGTGAATGTATGGTGGACGGGGGCAAAGGGGTGGGCGTGTTGGGGAAATGTGAATGACGTGGGGCATAGAAAATGTGATCTATGGCGTCTCGAGAATCGCTACACTCAACGCTGACGCGGTAGCTCTGTGAAAAGTGGCATACACCCTACAGGACTACGATGGTGTGGCTCACTGCCCCACACACAGGAATGGCGGCAAGCATGAAAAAACACCGCAAGGATCAAGACCAGAGACTGATAGCTGTTTGAACATGGCGACGAAAAGTGAACCGTCGCCCTAAAAAGGTTTAACCTAGGCTCCAGCATGTTAGAAACACTCCGAAAGTGCGCCCACCGCTTGTGTACACACACCTTCCGACGACCTTTTTCCACTGTTTGTCCTTTTCCCATCCCCGGGGCGGAGGTGAGCAATCCAGCGTTAGCGCGGACGCATGTCTCTCCCCGGCGGCCATCTTGACGACCAAATGCCTCCCGACACCTGGAAATTCTACCCTCGTCGGCGCCACCTGAGAGACACAAGTTCGGATAGGTAAACGAAACGTGTAAGAGGCGGAGACGCGGGGTGTTGTGAAGAGACCGCCAATAGGGAGGGAGGGAGGGAGGGTGCTGATGCCACCTATTTTTCGAGGAGAGCGACAATCGGAACGAGTGAGGCACCGTGGGTTCCACGGGCGATAAGTTCGTTCAGGGGCATGGACAACGTTCAATGCCGACATCGTCAGTCATCTGTTAAGCAGTGATGCGTCAAAAGCAGCGCCGCATCTTCCTGCCGTCCCATGTTTTCTTGACCGTAGTGGATACACCGTGGCGCACGTGCTACAGTTAGGCATAGATACCTCGAGCTTCCGACTGATGTACGATACCCTTGACTACACGATAGGGTCAGAGTTGTGTGGGTTTGGGGCACAACTTCCAAGCCCAGACTTGCATGGTCGATTTCGCGAGGGAATGGATGCATTTTTCGCAATGCTTGTTCCTCCGTGGCATCTTCCATTCTAGAAAGATCACTCACAAAGCACTGTCTCTCCGCAGCCCTCGTTTGGTTTGGGAGCAAAGCCCCCCCCTCCCTTGTTAGACAGCTCCTGTCGTCGGGGGCAACCCCAACGCGAACAAGAGAAACTCCCGTCCCAGAATGCCGGTCCGACATGAAAGGGAATCTTACCCTCGAATCTTTCGCGATGCCAAGCCCGAGTTGCCCTGCCCACCCTTTTCCCCACGCAAACATCTGCCCCTGCACGTTGGCGGCAAGGCTGAACGACTTTCCGGCCACGATCGACATAATCAGCTCTTTCCTGCCGGATCGTTGAGGTCATAGCGGCACGGGTACATCGTCAGTGTTTTGGTACAGTGTTGTTGTGATGCTGTCCTGGCAGCATTTTGTTGGTGTCGGTGGTGGTGGTGACGGTGCGGGTGCTGCAGTGCTGGTGGCGGAGGGGGGCGTGTGGACGTCTTTGGTGATCGTTGTTTTGGGTGAGAGTACTGGCTGTCACGGCAAGCGCATGTTGAGTCAACCCATCCCGTTCCCGCTCCGACACATTCGGGCTTGCCTTCATGCGCTATTGCCGCCACCCCTAGCAGGAGTCGTAACGGCAGATTCTTGTGAAAAAGCAGCTTCGGAATATTGATAAATCACAAACTAAGGCCGCTACGTGTACACCGAACAAACTCTGGCGGTGGCACGGTCCTCAATGCAGACGCTCCGAAGGTGGTATTTGTTCTGACTGGTTTCCGCGAGTGACAGCGCGTTCTCACTTGTCGAAGGCAATCTTCGAAGGCATCTTGATCTCTCCAACCTGGCGGGCGGGAGTCGATCAAGGGGTTTTGGTAGGGGTAATCGCCTTAGGCTATGGTGTGAAGTTAAACAATTAAGCCTATGAATTCCGACAATTCCCGGTGTCATGACCCCGTGTGCTATTCCACTCCTATAAATTCCACATGCAGCGCCTTACAGTGGCCGGGTGCACCCATTCGGAAGCTTCACCCAGCAAGCACCTACCCTTCGACCCAACCCTAGCTGTCCGCAGTACCCGTATCCCCACGCGTAGGCCAGACTCTCCGTGCCCCATGGGTTTGCCAGGGTGGTCGGCGCGCTCCGGTGTGCGAGAACGATGCTGTGTGCCCCTCCGAGCGCAACGTCCTTCACGACGCAACCCGGAAAGCCCGGCGGCCAGTTCTTGAGGCGGACAGGCGCGTGCCGGCACTTGTTGTCTCCCGTGCCGAGTCGTCCATGCGCTCTGCGAGGAAAGATGAGAAGCTTATTTGAGTTGTTGTCCGGTCAGGGGTGGAGTGGTTGCTCGGGGGGGGGGGGCATGCTGTTGCCCAGGGGACGGCGGGAAACCGGATGGTTTTGGCGGTGAGTGTGAGAGAAGAGTAGGATACCCGTCGCCGGTTGAAATCGTTGCAGGCAGGAACGTGCGCACGCATCCCAACGCAACATCTCAGGCAATCGAAACAGTCAAAAAAACGACGTAAATCCCACTTCGACAGTGTGGAGTTGCTCGGCGACATGTTATCCAAGCTAGAAAGAGAATCCGACCCCTGCTTGCTGAATGCCACGACCCGCTAGCGCCCGACAAGCCAAGCCAAACATGAACAAGTAGTGTCCTACTCGGCACTTTTACCCACTTGGAGTAACGTGGGAGGCAGTACGAAGTGGCGTTGTCATTTCGTTGTCTCTATGACTCTCACCCCCTCCCCCAAAGGTGGACCGACTGGGGCAGAGACACCGCCATCGAGTGGGCGGCACCGGCTCCTATCAGTGCCACCGGATCCGACCCTACGCCTTCCACGCGGCACGGCTCCCAGCGATCCTTGTAGTCGCCGTGACCTAGGCGGCCATCCTGCCCACAACCCCAGCTAAAAACCTTTCGGGATCGGCATCCGAGCACGTACGTGGTAGGCGGATGACAGCGGCTGGAAATAAAGGTGCCGACACCGTTCCTGTCGATGCCTTTGCTGCTGGCCTTGCTCTTCTCTCCGTACTTCAAATCGATATTATTCACTTTGTTTTGCAAGACAGGGGTCTTTGTCGTCTTGAACGCGCAAGAGCACGGCTCTCGCGTCTATGTCCTGGTCAGTTCGTCGAGGAAAGGTGCACATCTATCCTAGTCTACGGCACTGCCTACCCATGGGCCTGGGTACCATTGCTCCACGCCTCACGCGCACTAGTGTACTTCTCTGTTGAATACCACCTCACCAAGGGAACCACCACCCCGAACTACTCTCAAAAGTACCTTCCCATCCAGGGTGACGCAAAGGGCGTGAGCAGCACCCGCCACGACACTCCTGACCGGCAGACCGGCCAGGGCGTCAATCACGTGCGGAGTCCTGCGGTCGACGACACCCTCTCCTAGGCCTAGCTGCCCTCTTTGGCCGGAGCCCCACGACAATAAGCGGCCCTGTGCGTTCGCGCGTTTATTGTTATCCACCCCGGAAAAAGAAACGCCACAACAACAGTACACGGAGATGAGGAGAGGGTGAGACAGGGCCCCGGGCGGGATGACGACTGAGCAGCACCAAAAGCGGTCAGCTGTGTGGCGCAAAACAATAACGATCACGTGATCTATTTCACCTGAAATCGCCGGTGCAGCGTACGCTCTTCCTCGAGGATGTGCTCCCACAGCTCTTGAAGCGACTCGCTAGACGGAGACTGCTCCAGTAGCTTCTTCACCGACTTACCTCGTTGCGATTTCAGTCAATACGATACAGCGGTCGTGTTTCTGTTCATGATGATGGCGAGAACAAGCTACAGCATTGCAAGAGCGCCCGCCGTCGGCACAACAGCGAATTTCTGTTCGGAATGTCGCAAGAACATGCATCGTACGATACCGTGGCAGGGTTTGCTCCACTCGTGGACTTGGAAAAGTTTATCGACTCGCCTCATAGTGGTAGGAGACATTTAACACACCTTAATAGGGTGTGGTTTTGCTGCGTTGCGAAGGCAGTAATATCATGGTACGTCACACCAGCTAACATCTAAACGGATATCGCCAGAATATACTATTTCTCCAGTCCTTCGCTCCATACCTTGTAGTTCTGTGTGACGTTCTACACGGTTAGCAAGGCCTCTGTAAGACCAAGCGCTTGCGTTCTAGCGCAGTTCGTCCGGTGTGTAAGCTTCACACACCGATCGTGCCCCTCACCATCTTCATCCAAAGGAAGCCCTCGGTCGCGCGCGCGGCATCTTCCGCGTTGGCCTCCCTCGTCACCGAAAATGTATCGCCCGCAGCAGCCTGTGCAACCCAATAGTCCTTTCCCGCCTTCAGATCGCCTGAAGGATGCACCTGGTTATTTGGTGTTTTCGAGTGTGTGTGTTGTATAGTCATTTTCGTGGTCGCTGCCAGACTATGTCCTCATGTTTCGCTCGTTTTGGAGGCCACAACCGAGAAAAATGCAGATGAGCATCGATCCTGAGCTCCAGTGTGGAAACGCAATGCACTGCACCAGCCACGATGACGAACAACAGTGCCTTGTTCGTCCAGACGTCATTTACTGTTCCGGTATGCCGAATGCTTTCTCGACAGTCGAGCAAGGCACACGCGTTTTCGGCCGAGGGGGTTCGAGAAATTGGCATTGTCGTCGTTACCTGCTTAGGCAGTCTCTGAACAGCCCGACGATCAGGGTGGTTGATGAACTGGCTTGTGGTGCCCAGCTGCCAGGACAGACCTTCGCCCACAGAAAACACGAGGCCGTCATCGGAAACAAAGAGCGTGTGGCGCTTTCCCGCCGCGAGATCCACGAACTGCTTCTTCTGTTGGGGAACATGCCAGCGGGTGTGTCGACCCGTGATGCGGAACGATAATTGAGCCACTACAACTCACAAAAGCAATGTCGGTTGTTCGTCCTATGCTCTTAGGATGTTCTAGTGATGGGTTGAGGAAAAACGCATTCCTACTGAGTATTATTCCTCGAGTGGTCACGGTAGCGACTCTCTCTGCTGTTCTGCGGGGAAACACATGGCCTCACTTTGAAGCGAAAGAAATTTAATTTGTCCAAGGGCATAGACACATACACCGCGACAGCCACATTCACCTAATACCCTCTACTACGCATCCCGTAGGCACCGCAGGCAAGGATATTGACCCACACTCATTGCGAGCGGCAACATGAAGCATGAACAGCGATCAATGTCCTCGTATCTTCAATATGCCAGGCCTATCTTGTTGTGATCAAGTCAAGTCCAGCCTTCAAAGCCCTCGCATTGTTGGGTAGTGGTTGCCGTACCGTAAAGTTCGGGTGCAGCGGTCTCGGTGAGGATTCGGACCCATCCCGCCCAGTTCCGATCCTGAATTCCCCTCCCCAACCCCAACCAAGGGCAATCAGAGTGCCCTCCGGCAACCCCTTCAGCCGTTTAAGATTGCCGCGATCTGCGTCATTGCTCGTGGTCCTAATCTTCCTCCCAAACCTGTCCACTTCACGAGGTGCGGGGTTTGTTCCTCGGAGGGCGGGGCTGTTGCTGGTATCTGCAGTCAATGACTGTTCGTCCGTAGCTTGACCAACGCGCCAATGAACCGTCGCCGATCCTGACGCAGATATGTCTCCGTCGACGCCCGACCGTTTCTGTACACTCAAGTTGATATCTCTGTCTGGTCCATTGTCGCCGGTATTGGCCCGATACTTTTCCGGATTTCGCTGCTGTTGCTGCTGCTGCTGCTGCTGCTGCTGCTGCCTTTTACCGCAACTTGGCGAGGGTTGTACCGAGGGGACATTTTCTCTTCCCTTTGTATCCCCGGCTTGTGATGATATCAGCTGCAGATGTTTCTGAACGGCCCTGTCCTCGACATCATCGTCTCCCTGTTGCCCTCGTTGGCCCACGTCTCCCTCGACTTGACGGATTTTCTCGTTCGAGGCGAACAGAGCGTCGGGCACGGTAACGGCATGGACGCCTCCGTCCTCGGTCAGCTTCCAGAAACGTACATTGTCAGGGGGTGCTTGCTCGCTGTCCAGCTCCCACTGGCGGAGCTTGACGGCTGTGATTAACCGCGCGTTTCTGAGGACCAGGCCGCAGGAATGGGAGGTGCACTGTATCAGTCAGAGGATTCAACATATGTCGCACCTGCACCTGGAATAAGGACTGGAACATCATGGACGATGTTGCACGCAGATACGTGTGGCAAGTTGGTCGGGTTCCTGGTGGGAACTTGGAGGTGGTCTTCGTGTGTTATTGGCAGTAACATCAGTACGGGGTCAGGTATTTCTGTCTCTCCGCGTGTAGCCTACATCATCGGCCGAAAACAACACTAAATAGTGCATCGGCAGCCTAGGGCCGGTACGATTGCGCCAGTAGACTACAGCACGGTGCCTGTGTTGATTTCAGGCATCCAGAACCCACAGGCATAGGACGCCGCTGTTCGTCTCTTCCTGTGTGTGCTGTTGTTTGGGCTTGCTGGAACTACCGCTACTGGAGCAGCAGAGGGCTTCTTAGTCGCGGTTGTTCCCGCTGATTTCCGCCCCCCTTTGTTGACACAGCGAGAGCTTGCACGTGGTGAAGCGGTGATTCTTCGGGTATTTGATATCGTGGTTGCTGCCGACAGCCTCCGCATAATGCCCCCCCTGGTCAACTACTGGTGTGCGCGTGGTAGGCCACGCGATAACTGCCGATAAATTCGGGGGGGGAAACTGCGACTTTCGTCCTATGAATGTGCTGGGAATTGGATTCAAATTGATCTTAAGGGTACATGTGGACAGACAAAGATGTACAGCAGTAGGACTATAAATACAACTGATTGGCTCCCTGGAAGATGTGACGCTTATTTTTCGGAATAGAATAAGGATGTGTGTCAGAGATTGGCCAATGAGACAGATTTAGGCTTGTAATCTACAAGTCTATCTTAAATACTGCTGTAGAATATTAGTCTACGTCGTGGGGAGATACCAGAACGTATTCCCGTTGTCGACCATCATAAGGGTAAGTCCATTAGAGGGGTGAGGGTCTGCTTCTGAACAAATACGCCATGGTTTGCGAGACCGATAAACCGTTTGCACCGCAGAGAGAAACTTCAACGTATGTCTACGGCGTCAAGTAGTCGAGACCGACAGTATCTGTACGGTACGTGACGTGCTACTGTACCACAGGATGTGTGGATTACTGCTGTAGATCGGACTTTCGCTTTTACCTTTTCGGTTGCTTGGAAATATACCAGAATCCAGACGTCTCTCGGAGCCCTCGCTGCGATAGGTGGAACTGCTTCCCTTTGAGCAAAAGGGGAACACCACGGGAATGCTGATTGTCTCTTGCTTCGGAGGCAAAGATCTCGAATGGGATGGCAGCAACTGGTGCCTGTTGTGGCGACCTCGGATATCCATTGTCACCCGGGAAGTCGACACTTTGGCTCCGAGAGGTTCGCTGCAAGATGGAGGACATTCTCGTCTGCTGCCTGTTTTTCCCACGCAGGACTATTTCCACTCCTGTCTGTTCCCCAGGACCGCATGTCGGGGGGCAAAGGATGTTGCAGCGTGCGGTGCAGTTGGCAGGTAACGTGTGATATAGCTAGGCAAGAAGCGGGGTAATCAGACCGGTTCAAGTGGCCTTTCGGGGCTCCGCAGAGATACGCCGCACAACAAAGGGGAGAGATCGGCAGATCTTTGCTGGGACGCCTGGGCGGATAACTGGACACCAGCATGTCCGCTCTCCTGCTGTCGGACCTGTTCCGTGGGAAGAACTTATCGGCAGCAACATCTTCTTGCCCCGTCATTCCTGCTCCCTGTCTCTTTATGCGAGACGGTACACGTCGGGATTAAAGCGCAGATACCCCGAACGAACTCAGCCGGTCGCGGCTACACTACACTCTTGCAGAGACGCGTCCTCACCGCGTTGTCAGGGAAGGCCCATAGATATTCACGGAGGCTGGTACTTGTACGGCTCTCGGATGGAGAGAGACGATGTACCGGGTGCTCCACTCCCCACGGCGAGGTCGTCTTCCGATCTTGCGTCTGTCAGGGAGGATTTCAGCTCTTGGCTAGACGCTATCTTTCCATCTAAAAGGTTTGTGAGGCAGCGAGAAGGTTACCAATCGTAACTAGCATGAGGAGCTGAGGATGGCATTCTGCTCATGCAAACGACACTCCTGTCCACGGAATACGTGAATATAAGGAACTATCGGTGGGGTTCCCACACGAGATGGCGCCATACTGCAAGAACAACGAATTTCTGTGTTTGAATGCTGTTGATTTTGTACCAGTGGCGCAAGTTTTTCGTGCAGCCTGCCGGTATGGCCAGAGGTTCAAAGACGGTGAAATGGCACCCGATTTCATTACCACAGGTTGGATGAACAGCACCACAAGAAGCAGCAACGCCGGAGGGTTACCCGTCAGCAAGAAGCGGTTGTCGCCGCCAAAGTGAGACAAGCCCTCCCCATGGAGCTTCCACATCCCACCAAGGGCTCCGTAGCACAACCCGGTACCAGCAGGGACCGGACGTCAGATAGAAATCTAACAGAGCAAAGAGACGGCGGATCAACGAACCTTAAAGGAACTTTTACTTTGGCGCCCAGCGGATATAACGATACAGGGACTATTCACTGCGATGTATCGAGTCAAGGACGCCTATCACCAATACCGCCACGGCGGTCGTCAGCACCTCCCCTTTCCTTTCCTCCCGTGCAGCAAAACTATCTTCAACGTTTCCACCACTCTTGGGATAGAAAACCAGCCGTTCCCTCTGCGCTCCAGATGCAAGGCAGTCATCCTGCGAGCTTTCCGGACATGAGATACAGCAGCAGACGATCTTGGCACCGGCCGGGTCTCCACTTCTTCGAATCCATCCCTTCTCGGGCGTTCGTCAGTGTGACTTGCACTCTTGTTTTCGTGGGGGCCGACGAAGCGAAACGGGTACAAATCGGTCGAAGTATTTGGGCGTGCCTTTCTCTCAGTTTTCACGCGCACGTCATGCGTCAGACCAACCTCACATTTATTTCCAGTCGCTTTTGTATATCTGCGTCGGTTGGTGTCTTCCAGACTCGGCCAAGGTGTGTCTCGACTGAGATTTTTGTTCTTATTCCTTCACTTGTATGGCGTGGAACTCATTTCATGTGTTGTACAATGCACTCAAGATAAGACATCTATCGCACCCCATTGCTTGGTACGGCCATGATCTCACACTCTCCTCTCTTCCTTTCGCTCAAACGCGCGTGACGCTTTACCGTGATCTCATACAGATCGGTGGCGAGGTCCTGTGGTTGCGCACAAACGCCACAGGCAAAACCCAGAGACGAGTGTTCTCCACTGCAGAGTGCTTCATCACCAACCCTAGGCTTCGTCGCCGAGTGGCACTCAGCCTCAGTGGACGAGGGAACAACGGGAATGATGGTGCCCAAACCACCATGACCCCGACCAGCGCACCGGCTATATTGCCGGCGCCGGCGGCGAAGGCGGTAGCAGAGGCGAGAATGGATTCTCAGAAGGCGGGAACGAGAGATCAGACCCACCTTCGCCTCCGGCATCGATCAGGTTTGCTATTCTGTAGCTCCCTGGGAATGCTGGTCAGTTGATTGAATGTGTGCTGATTGTGGCGAATAGTTGCGATCCAACTGTTCGTGGTTGTTGTGGTCTTGTGCTGCCTTCAATGTCAACGATGTGCTGGCCCAGAAGAGTTACGCGCATCGCTTGAGTTACTTCTCCGACAATGCGACCGCTGCTGCCGATTCTCGTGGCCCAGTAAAGGGAGAAAATCAGCAACCGGCGGCCTTGCTCAAGGTGCACCGGCCTGCCGTCAAACACAGTAAAGACAGCACCAACCATAGCAAAAAAGGCAAACGGAATGGAGAACAAGGAGGGAGCACCGACGTCGCGATTTTGCACGACGTCGGCCAGATCGAGCAAGCCCTAATCAACGCCGGCCAAGCAGTGAGACAATCACCACTTGCCATGGGCATACCGGACAGCGTCAAAACACAGCTTCGGCAACCGCAGCAGATGCCGCGGCGACCAACCTCTCAGGCATATATCTACGACAACGAAGGCCTTGCCGCCGATCTATCGCGTGACCACTGCGGCCCAGACGCTGAAGACATCGCTCCGAAGAACGACCAATCGCGCCAGCATCCAAGCCAAGGGGACAATGTCACGCTCGAGGTGGGCACACCAAAGTTGGATACTGGCCAAGATGTGACACCAGTTTGTGGTCACTTGGCTGCAGCACCATGCGGACATGTTGCTGTGCCATCCGCCGGGCTGGCAGCAACGGGCTTTCGGTCGGAGGATGTTTCAGGGTTGCACGTCAGCACGGCAGAAGATGGAACGGTGCCGAGATCACGACCATGGGCTATCCAGAAATTCATCATGGCGAAGGGGCCGCAAGCATGGTACTGACAACTGGATTGATGACAGCACGATTTATATTATTTCTCGCATTCCAAATATATTGTTTGAGGGACAGGGTCAACATGACATTTTCGACTGCTGTGGAGTGCCTCCCATTGCGAACAAGCAAAGGCGACATGTTTATGAAAGCTTCACATTTACCCTGCTTGGAAACTGACTTGCTTTTCCAGCAGCACCGCCATCGATATATTATCTAGCCATCAGTCGTGACTTACTTATTACTTCAATTATTATCACATTTTACCGCAGAGACTTGTCCATCCAATACAACTACAACCAAAGCATCCCCGCATACAGCATCTATGCCTCCACGTTGCAACCGTTGAACTACAAATTCCAATGCTGGTGTCCCTCTAGGTCATGATTTCTCCTGCATTGTACCGTGCCTCCCGTTTGCTGAAGGGTGGTCAGAGTCGTTTGGAGGAGAAACCTGGGCTCCTATTGCTGGGTTATCAGTGATTCTGATCCGTTTATCACCTCGGGACTTTGCCGAAGGAGTTTAGGCCGCGTCAGTACGTGCAGTGCCGGTAAGAATGCGCCTAGCGTTCATGTCCTATATGCATGCACTCATGGACACTTGGACCTCCTGCCGATAGCAAAATGGTTGTAATACCAACATAGAACCGGGATTCCATGATTCATGCGATACTGCTTTGGAATATCATATCTGGCTCATTATTTCTGTATGTTGTTGCTTGATTCCGCATACATCAACGCTAGTTCGGAGCAAGGCTGGCCCTGCTGGTTGGGAAGTCCCGAAACGCTTCGTGGCCAGTATTGTGGAAACTTTGGAAGTAGCATCATCAGCGGCTACGAACCAGTTGCGTTTCGAAGAGTTCGTGGCTGATCTCATTGAAGATAGCGATGGGAGATGGTGGCTCACTCAGGCAAGGGTCGGTTTGTATGATACATACCGATAGGGGGAAGATGTTAGGGTATGAAGAAGAAAAAGACACGGGTTTCAACTCGATGCACGTGTGCTGGCCGTCGTGCACGCTTGTCTGCTCGCGGCGCATTCCATGTTCTAAACTATCCCAGGGTGTATTGCCTGGTTTCACCATGCTATCTCTCGGAATGTGGACGACGTATCCATTGCTGATACCGCGCATTGTGGTGTGGTACCCATGATGGTTGAACACACATATATGATACATACCATCTTACCTCTTTCACGGCTCGTGGGTCGGTTCCTCCCCCTTCCCCAACACCTGGAACGGACACGCCCTCCCAGGTCAAGGCCTTTCGCCTATTGCGCTCCCTCGATATCAGTCCGCCATCAAACTCGGAATATGCGATATCCGGTGTACGGAACTCCGCGGCGTCACACGGTGTGTTGGATTCATCAACATCTACACGTACGAAGGGGGGCTGCCACCGCCACCACAGTGCAGCGGACTGCAACGCACTAGGTATCGGGGTCGATGGGCCGAGGGGAAACGTCGGAGAGCACGAGACACACCGAGATGATGACGGGCATGATCAACATCGTCCTGCTGTGACGGAGACGAAGGAGCCTGTCATCCCCCCCGAATCACCTGCCCCCTCTCCCTCTTCCCCTGCAACACCTACCCCCATCAGCGATGGGGCCATCGATGTGTTAAGAAGACCAATAAAAGAAGAACCCCTTGGGCTCGGGGTTCTTCATCCTGACCTTTTGCCTTCGAGGGCTGCGAGCCTCAAGGACAGCCGTAGGTCAGGGTGTCCCGGATTGTACTGCAACGGAAGCGAGGCGTGTGTGGGGGAGCGACCGCAACCACACCCCGAGACAAAGGAGATTCCTCCTGCAACGGGAAGCCATCCCATGTTTCAGTTACCTCTGAAGGTAGAGGTAACCGAAGGACAATAGTGTGGAACAGGTTTTCAACCTGTACGTGCTTTCGAAAATCGTTGTCACACAGACTCATCCGCTGTTGAGTACGGAACGCTCGAAGGACAGAGTGTCAAACGACACGCAGACGGCGCTCCGCCGGAGAACCTCATTTGGCTCTCGACGAGCGATGGCCTCCTCTTCAATTTATCACGTCTTATCTCTTCATTTGTACTGATGTCACCCCCGCCCCCCCCCCCCCCCCNAACGCTCGAAGGACAGAGTGTCAAACGACACGCAGACGGCGCTCCGCCGGAGAACCTCATTTGGCTCTCGACGAGCGATGGCCTCCTCTTCAATTTATCACGTCTTATCTCTTCATTTGTACTGATGTCCCCCCCGCCCCCCCCCCAACCTCTCCTTTGCATGGTGCACCCAACAACGGGTTCTAAGGCGCTCGTTATCAACGATGAAGTGGCCAGGTTCAGAACAGCTTTGCTCTTTCAAGAACAGGTCGCAGCGGCAACCGCAATAACACCACAACGACAGCATCGAAGGCGGGGTAGCATCCATGATGCAACCACTGATTGCTCGGCACAAGCATCGGGGGAGAGGGTCGCCGTCGATGGTATTACTGATACAGCCAGGGTCATAGGAAAGGATGGCGCTTCCCTGGTGGAGGCGAGAGCTCTGGCGGTGTTACAGCAGAGAGACAGGGTGAGCGATTATGGTCCTAACGGGGTCCTCTGTATCGGAGAGCTGTGGCCAAACTCTCTGAATTCTGATTTAGGAAGCCAATATGAGCGGGGCATAGGTTTTGGGATGCACCAGGTTTGGGTGCAAGTCTCCTGGGGGGTGCGCTTGCCGAAACGGGGAAGTTGCATTGATTTTGCCACCTCGCTCCAGAAAACGCTTCTCCAGGCACGTCGGTAGCTGGCAGTTGAATCTGGTTTTCCCGTTCAGGTGATTGTGCAAAGGGTGACCAGAAAGCCAACGTGGGAAAGGCCGAATGCCACGGGATAACGCACACCGGAGCGATTGCAGATTTGTGCACCACTGAATTCCGCGGTTGGCACCTTCTGCACAACACGCTCATGTTCGGTAGTGAACCCCACGCCCCTCTTCACACATGTGTGCATGTATGGCACTGTTGCCGCGGCGATGCCGGGTCGTAGGCCCGCCTCTACGATAGTGTGCCGCTGTGTGGAGCGTGCTACCGAGCGTACAGCGACAACTGGCGGTGGTGGCTGGCCCGGGGAGATCAGGTACGAATTAAAATACCATCCGTCCATAGACTATAGGCTGTTCAAACGAGGCGTCAGGGACAGCGCGTGTTTCCCGCTACTTCCCAATGACGTTCAATGCGCGACCCATGCCCCTGCCTTGCCTCCACCACTTACTATTTAACCCCTGTTCTGGTCCGCAAAATGAAACATCCGTGATCGATCGAGGAGGCCGGTGGAATGCCTCTAGTAGGCCACTCTGCTGTCGGCCCCACCCGCCGTAGCTCCAACCCCGAGAGGGAACGAAGACGAAGAAAGAGGTGTCCCTCCGGAGCCGCAAAGATCGCCAGTACCGCCGCTGAGACTGAGCCCGGCAGCGGGGACACGCCATCGGGGACGTCCACGGTATCAACGGCGAAGGGTGCATCTGTCCGTTCGAGTGATTCCCCGCTGTCGGTGTGGCTATCGCCGGATGTCGGGAACGCAGAAACCCGCGTTGGGAACGGCGGCAGCCACAACAACACGGGTACCGCTGGTGCGTGCTCACCACCGGGGAAGAGCACGACTCTGCCGTCGTCACGACGACACGAGCACGTCACCTGGGAAGGAACGAAGAATGCAACACCGACATCTGCTCCCCGTGATGCTCATGTTCCGGAGGCGGTGGCCCCTTGCAAAGAACGGCCGAGTCACCGCCGGGAAGAGGGCAGATACCGAGGAGAGCGAGAGACACGACGGCGGGGCACGTCCACCGCGGAGACGTTCAGAGAAAGGCTCGAACGGCGATTGGACGGGATCTCGTTACCGGTGCGCGTTCCCGGTCCAAAACGACTGACTTCTAGAGGCCTCGGGACGAAGGCTGCCAATCGATCGGCACAGGGCTGCATCGAAGAGTCAAGCACGGTGGCGGCAGCGAAAGCAACAAAAGATGTTGCGGCTGCCGCCACGGCAGCAGAAACAGCGCGTGGGCGGACAAGGGAAAGCAGCACGTTCCTCGGCCATTCGTGCAGCGGCGAAGCGAGAACGGTTGTAGGGGTCGCTCCTCCTGTCGGGCAGATCACGGCTGCTGCAACGCAAACATTACGGGACGGCGAGGGCCTGGCCATCGAAGAGGATGAAAGTAGAACGTGGGAATGGGAAAAGGTGAAAGTTGACTGGAACAAGAAACCGAGCCTTTGAGCTCCTGCGGCCGACGTGGCCTAAACAGTCTATGCGTAAGTATTTTAACTACTTGAGCAGGGTAAACTGAAACTTACAGAATCAGCTTACGAGCCCCGCCTTGAGTGGGAGTGTATTCCTTGCGTGATGTAGTGCATTCTTTCTGGACAGCACATGCTATCTGTGCCACACTTAAAAAAAAGTCACATATATGACAGGCTGCGCGAAAGACGTGAAACACTTTTCGGAAGACTGCAGGGTGTGTTGGGTAAGGTACATACCCGGGTACAAGTTGGGTATTTGTCGGGTATGTTCCCGTGCCCAACGTGTGGGTACGTTGGGTACGACCTCTCGTTCCCGTACCCAAATTCTGGGTACGTTGGGTACGACCTCTCGTACCCGTACCCAACGTACCCAAAAGTATGGGTACCACACCCGTGCCCATACCCAAAATATCCATACCCACGCATCATCTACCCGGGTTACCCGGGTACATTGGGTACGACTCTCGTACCCGTACCCAAAATTTGGGTACGTCGGGTACGACTCCCGTACCCGTACCCAAACTCTGGGTACGTTGGGTACAGGACCCGTACCCGTACCTATATTCTGGGTACGTTGGGTACAGTACCCGTACCCATACCCAACGTACCCGTACCCTACCCAACACACCCTTTGAAGACTTGTAGATCGTACGTGCTACATGACGGGTGCCATTTAGTGATCATCGCTGGAGTACCAAACAAACTCGTAGTTACCCGACACTCAAGACCACGCTGTGGATTGGAAACCATTTCCCGGGCCTTGAAAGAAGAGGGGATCGTTTTCCCCATCCACATCTCGGGTGCACACAAAAGAGAGGCTGCACCACCAGCATTATGGCAACCAGAGACAAAAACGCGGCAACACGGCGTCCGCTCGACGCGACAACTATCAACAAACAGTTCCAGACGCCAGCAACCACTCGTTCCTTTGGGAATGGACGCGCAAGTTCTCATCTCTCCCCTCCATACAAGGCCACCTCCCGGGTGGCGGTCAAACCGCGAGAAAGAGAGAGAACATGAAACATCAAATCGAAAAAGAAAACGACACACTTCCCCATGTAGCTCTCCCGTTGTGCGTCTTCGCCGCTCTTGCATCGCTGCTGCCCATCCCTGCTTCCAAATGCTCATGGCCTAGCCTCTTTCACTGCTTCTGCTTTTTCTTAGACCTTTGCATGCGCTGCCTCTCCCCGGCATCCAAGGCCGCCTTTCGGAGGCGTATCGCTAGCGGCGTGACCTCAAGCATCTCGTCCTCGCCCATGTACGCGATCAGCTCCTCTGTGCCGAGCCTGACGGGGGGAGCTATCTTGAAAGACTCATCTGCGAGGACGCTCCGAACGTTTGTCACCTTCTTGAGTTTGCACGGGTTCACCTGTCGTTGTTGTCGTTTGGTTCACCCAGTCAGTGCTACTGGGGAAATGAAAGGACGAACAGACTTGTCCACAAGGTGTCATACATGAAACCGCCGGCCACAGCAAGGGAACAGGTTCGTGGCCCGTGACGTCTCTTACTCAGGATGTCGCCCGGCGGAGGCGAAAAAGAGCGAGCAACCAAGACACGACAAATCAGACGAAAGCAAAAAAAAATGGAATCTCGTGGACCACCCGTGAAAAGGGAACCCGAAACTAAATAAAGTCACCATGCACCAAGAGAAAAAAAGTATTTCAAGAATATGAAACACCCCGCCCCCCCCAGCTATGCGAGGTCAATGGTCTAACGACTACGGCATGCACGACTATGAGTACCCCCCCCCAGCTATAGTCTCTTTCGGATGAGGTTTTACGTTTTTGGAACGCGACTTTCGACTATGAGTACCTCCCCCCCAAGGAGTGGGGCATTCCGCAACCTACGGTGCCCCCGATCGAAGGAAGTTCTCTCACCTCCAAGTCTCCCGCGCGTGCGTGTTCACCAATCACCATGCCGTTGTAGACCTCCTGCGACACAAAACATATTGCCACCGCATCGCGTTGCCACAGCATATTCGTTGGTGGCATGGACGGGGCAGACGCAAGCACGACGAGCAACACAACAACGACGAGAACGGACCAAGGGCCAAAGAGCGGGGGGGG